TGGACAGAAGAGTATGGGGAAGCTTTGTTCGTGCCAAAGAAGTTTGCTTCTGACGTGCTCCTAACACATTTTGCTCCGGGTCTGGATATTGTTTGCTGCTGACTCAAATCACAAAGCTGAGGCAGTGATATTGCACAGTATATGTTAGATAAACACGGAAGTATCGTCATTCATGGAACTACGGGCAGATTGAAAAGCAAGGGCTCGCTCTAATTTTTGCAGTTCGTAAGTTCTTATCGCTATACTTAAAGGCACCTTCTACCCTAACTGGGGGTTGGCGAGATGATGGTGGCATAAGTAGTTGGGCGCCCACACTAAGCAAACCCTCAAGTTGCGCCGCAAAAAATTGACTCCGGAGTAGAAATCCGCTCCGGAAGGAACGTATCCATAGCTAGTCACTTCACCCAGCCTGGTCGCCCTGCCCATTTTGCAAGCTCTGCAGTCCTGCAGCCTTGCAGGCCCCCGGCGTAAACCGCGCCGCAGCCCTGCGACTTGCACCTGACCCGTTCTCAGGTTCTCCAAAACGGATATAAAGATCCTCTTATTATGCATTTCCCTTCTCGAACTCAGCTGAAAACCAGAAATATCTAGTGTTTGAAAGACAGGCGTTTTGGAAACGTCAAACAGTGTTTCTGCTGAAAGCGCAGTAATAAGGAGAATTTTTTCCTTGTGCTTTCGCATTTCCAGCAAGTCTGGACCAGTAATGTATGGATGGACTGCTCCTATTTGTGGAACTTTTACATATTTCGTAGAGCTAGCCAACGGCCTCCGAAATCCTCTGGCATAACACTTTTTAATCGCTGATCACAAAACGTCATATTTAAAAGCTTCGTTCTTGGCGGGGAGGCTTGTGAAAAGGTATGGTTCAACATCTACTATGAAACGCAATCTTTCCAACCCTGACTCAGGTCTTTCGATAGGCCTTAGTGTGCCAAAACTGCTGCGTGTTCATAAAGTCGTTCCTCCTGAAGTGCCGAAAAACACGGTCCAATATCCACGGTGTGTGAAATGTATTTATTGAGATATAGCAATAGCTTCACAAAAATAAGTTTACATTACTAGTCAGCTAGCACCAAAGCATCAATGAGAAAATAACAAAATCACATTGTATAACATCAAATCTCATAGTTAAATAAGATCGATTTTGGAGAGAAAACCATAAGTATTCATCGCGTTTTGGCAGCAGTGATAGCAGCTTGACTTTCAACAATGGAGCGTGGAGTGGCACCAAGAAGGAACTCAACGCGGTAACGTTCACGAGCGCCAAGGCGACAACCAGGCTCACAGACAAGCTGGCGCAACTGAAAATAGTAATTTCAGAACAGTCCAGGCTAATCTAGGTATCTGAACATCATGAATAAAATTGTGAGTTTGACTCCTCATCTTCCAAGCAAAAGTTCATCGATTTCAATCGCGACTGATTAAGTAAAATTCAAATTCTCGGCTGGCCGTAACCCTTTAATCTGATCAACCATCGTCTCACGGCGGTAAAGAGTGCTGCATGGATCAAAGTAGACCTAGCTAAACCTAATATGAGAACGCAGATACCCATATATGCCTGAAGGCAACATCTAGGATCTACAATTAGAGCAGGTTAAATTCTTTGTTACAACTAGGAACCAGCAAAGTAAAGGTGCTAGATTTACATCACACACTTCGGGACCGCCCATAGTTCCCCCAACTTCAAATTATTTGGATGGCGCTTACGATTCTATATATCTAAAGATAGGATCCTTAAGAGAACGCGACTGTTAGATTCGGATTGAGACCTTGAGTTAACCAGGAAAAACAACTAACCAAAGAATCCACACATTCCGCTCTAGCTACATCCAACCAGACACGAGCCTCTGTGTCACTCCTGCATGTCTCACCACCCCACAGCGCCACTTCGAGAACATTCTTCGCCTTCGTTAAGCTGGATGATTTGTCCTCTTGCAGAAGTGTTGCACATGCCAAGAGCGCGCTTGAATACCTTGACCTAGGAAGCAGAACATTTCTGAGCATCATAAACATCAAGAGAGAGTAAGCATACCGATAGCGTATAGGCGGAGCTTTCCCATCCATTCTGTGATGTAGAAGTGTACACAGCGCTCTCATGGCGTAACGACATAGTCCAACGAGTTCGTCTCCACCGCTTTCGATTTCGGCTCCGTGGGTTTCCTGTATAACAAAGCTGTGTATTAGCACAAAGACCTCAAGAACGATGGGAGGAATTTTGGTTTCGATGAGCAAATACCCACAAAAATTATAAGGGTTGAGAATTAGACAGAATCTCGAATTTCAAGATTTTTTAAGAGCAAAACTTACTATCAATTCGTGAAATTAGCAATGCAAGTGTTTATAGAGAAGATAAGTTAACATTGGACTTTTAAAAAAACTGCAAATGCAGGATAAGAAGATATACCGGCAAGAAGATCAGTCGCGGAAACTCCCATATTTCCGTTTGTGAGTTCGGTGCAAAGCGGTAGGCAAGAAGGAACTCCTGAAATGCTCTTCAAGTTTAGAAACTCAAAATTTGCCTGCCTTATAATAGCAACAACAAGGCGAAACCAACCTTGAAATTCGTACTAAGCGATTCAACGCCGTCGCTTTGTAGCATTTTCAAAGCAGCAAGCAACTGAAGCAGAATGAAGGCTACAAGTTCCTCATGTGCGGCGCAATCCATTCTCTGGAAAGTGGAGAAATAGTGCTGATGCACAGTTTACCAAAGACGGAAGCTTTTAGGTTTTTTATTTTTTATAGTCTCTCAATATCAATGTTCTGCGAATGAATAATGATGCGAAGTGTTACACGAAAATCATCTTTTAATTATCTTTCATTGTCTGGATTATTTCAAAATTTTTATTGGCCTAGTTGTCATTTGAAATACCAAACATCATATTCTTACCTCATTCAAATGATGAGCAGCAAGGGAATGAAAGGAGCATAGGTTCAGACGAGGCATGGCGACCACCTGACAACAACGTTTAAGACTTTCTTAATTGGGCAGCGTCAAATTCTCAGTCAGTTTCTTGGCCCATACATTAAAAACACGAATTCTTCAGATTCTGTTTTTTAGCGATTGAAGCAACAGCGCGGAAAATTTGAGAAGATAAGGGGAGCGAGTTGAGCCCGCGCGGATACACCAAACACTTCCAAAAGATAAATCACCATATCAGACTTGATTGGTTTGAAAAAATGACTTTAAGGATATAATTCATAGCAGTATCTGAAAACAAAGCGGATAAGAGCTCGGAGAAAAAAATTTTTCTTATGTCCTCTCAGTTATAGTGCTTACTTTTACAATAAACTTTATAGTTATCAAATTATTTCACCTCTCAAGCAAATTTATAGAAGCAAATTTTTACACAGTAAGGTATTCTAAATCAGCTTCTCGTCTAGACTTACTTTAGTATGTCTTCCTTCCAAATTCACTGTCCCCGTCTCATGTAAGAATTTCGTTACAGAGCCGTCTTGGTCCTCTAATTCCAGAAAGCCAGGTAAAGCAAAGAGCTGAGAGCCGCTATGTCGCATCAGAGGAGCGTATTGGGAGCAGGGTGCTATCTGAAAATTGGTTTTTTTGACTTATTGTAGAAAATTAGGAAAAAAATTGGTTCCATAAGCGAAAATGTAAAAAATTCGTTTTACTCACCATCAAGGTCACTGGGTAGTCAGAAAACCCTGGTCGGGGCAGAATAGCATTGTAGAATAGACTTTTACCCTTGGTAAGCATTGGGTGGGGTGAGCACATGACAAAATGAGAAAACTCCAGTTCTCCAAGTTGATTTCGCGACACTGGTTCTTCCCCTCGGCTGAATCTGACAACGGAGATATTTGTAAAAAATGTTACATGCGAAACTATACCTCAAATCGTCAGCTAGTCTGTCCGCTACTAAGGAAAGTGTTTGTACATGGGACAGCGCCATCTGCAAGTACGATTGGGTGCAAATTTTGAGCAACGAGAGCATCGAGTGTAGTTTGACGGGAAGAAAGTAAAGTTATAGTATATATTTCCGGTGAAAAAAAATTGGGAATTCAGAGTACCAGACTCATCGGGGATATGTGGAAAAATTTTGTAAAAAAAAA